CCTAGAACAAACAGACGCCATTGGGCTACACTAGCACATGACAGGGACAAATGGAGACGTTACTGGCGCCTACTCAAGCAAATTGATAATTAACAAGAAGTGATCAAGTGACTGTTATACGTTTTCAATAATGAATTAGCATCTCATTTATAGTGGATGTTCTGTGTAATTTATTACACACAATTGAGCAGCATCTATAATATTTTTCAATATAAACCAATATTCCCTTTCTTAGGATAAAGTATCTTGTGCTTTTTGTAAGCCTATTCATATTTCCCTCTTTAAATTTTTTGAATTCTCTCACTCTTAATAAATTTTACATGTAAATTCTAAAATATGGTAGCATAGAACAGTCTTCTTATGATAGGGAAGACATGATAATTACCATAAGATCGAATTACAAAATAAAATTTAGTGCAATATATTCTAGATGCCAGGGTTGATTATTTATGTCAACGAGAATAAGCATTTCAGCATAGCTAGGGAAAAAACAAAACTAAAAACCCAACAGGAAAAAAAAAACTAAACAACAAAAATCAATACCCAAATTATAAAGAATATGTTGATAAATCAAAGGCAAGAACAAAAACCACCAAATTGAAAAGTGGGCAAAGGACCTAAATAAACCTGTTTCTAAAGAAGCCCAATTGTTAACATTCAATTAATCAGCAGGGAAATGTAAATAAAAACCTCATTAAGATACTACTTCAGGGGTATGGTGCCACCAGCAGATCAATCTGTACTTGTGAGGCGAGTGCATCAGCAGCCTGATGGTGCCTTTAGACTTCCAGATACCCCCAAATTGCTGCTGTGCCTTTGGCCAGACCCCAAAAATATGGGGCAAAGTTTACCAAGAAAGTAAATGGCCAGAAGTTAGGTATATGGGAAACACACCCACAAACCACCTCTGGCTCAGCTATATAATTGGAGGCATGGCCTCTCTGGTTCCTGATTGAACTGCTTAACGGCCATGATCCCAGAGACTCAGAAACAAATCTCGAAACCCAGTGCCTTTTGGCAGAAATGCGTCCAATCCCTGCAGTAGGTTACCAGTGCTGGGCCAACCCAGGTGGGAATAGGTTTCGTGCCTTGGCCTGTTCCCCCTGGTGAACTGGTGGCCACCATCCTCCAGAGGCCACTGGACAGTCAGGTTTGGGCCCGCAGTGATGAGACATTTTGGGCCTCACAGGATGGGGGTGGAGCTGGTCCTGTCCTCCCCACCCCAACGAGATCCCAAGTCATCACCCACGAATGGCCTCTCTGGCTCCTGATTGAGCTGCTTAACGACCATGATCCCAGAGACTCAGAAACAAATCTCAAAACCCAGTGGCATTTGGCAGAAATGCGTCTGGACCCCACAGTAGGTTACTGTCGCCGGGCGACCCCAGGGGGGAAAGGGTGTTGTCACTCTGCCTGCTCCCTGTTGGCGGCTCGTTGGCCATCATCTGGACAGTCAGGCTTGGGCCCGCAGTGACGAAACTCGTTGGGCCTCACGGGATGGGGGTGGAGCTGGTCCTGTCCTCTCTGTCCCAATGAGACCCCAAGTCATTGCCCACGAACGACCTCTCTGGCTCCTGATCAAGCTGCTTAACGGCCATGATTCCAGAGACTCAGAAACAAATCTCGAAACCCGGTGGCTTTTGGCAGAAATGCGTCCCGTCCCTGCAGTAGGTTACCGGTGCTGGGCCAACCCAGGTGGGAATAGGTTTTGTGCCTTGGCCTGTTCTGCCTGGCGGCCCGGTGACCGCCATCCTCCAGAAGCCACTGGACAGTCAGGCTTTAGCCCACAGTGACGATACACTCAGGGCCTCACGGGATGGTTGGGGAGCCGGTCCTGTCCTCCCTACCCCAACGAGACCCCAAGTCATTGCCCACGAACAGCCTCTCTGGCTCCTGATCAAGCTGCTTAACGGCCATGATCCCAGAGACTCAAACAAATCTCAAAATCCAGCGGCTTTTGGCAGAAATGTGTCCGGACCCCGCAGTAGGTTACTGCTGCCAGGCCACCCCAGGGAAGAAAGTTTGTTGTCCCTCCACCTGCTTCCCCCAGGCGGCTCGGTGGCCGCCATCCTCCAGAGGCCATTGGACAGTCAGGTTTGGGACCACAGTAATGAGGCATTTTGGGCCTCACAGGGAGCCGGTCCTGTCCTCTCCACCGCAACGAGACCCCAAGTCATCGCACACGAACGGCCTTTCTGGCTCCTGATCAAGCTGCTTAACGGCCATGATCCCAGAGACTCAGGAGCAAATCTCGGAACCCACGAGGTTTAGGCAGAAATCCCTCCAGATTTAAGTGTTAAAATTTCAGAATTTCAAAATTGTGCGGCCACTACTGCAGCCACACAGCATCATATGTTATTCATAACCAGCAATAGAAAACAAATTGTCTACTGTTGCCTTTTCAGCAGATCTGAGTGCTGGGGTAAAATCTCAAATAATAATGGTGGGTCTGGTGTCAAAATATTGAATGTGATCAAAGTAGAGAGAGAGAGAGAAATGTGGAAATCATCTGCCCCACAGGTAGGGGGAGGGTGTGGGATGGGGGTATACTGGGGTTGTTGGGGGTGGAGAATGGGCACTGGTGAAGGTATGGGTGTTTCATTATATGACCGAGACTTAGACCCAAAAGCTTTGTAACTGCTCTCACAGTGATTCAATAAATAAAATTATAAAAAATAAAAAAAAAGGTAAGGTGGAGTTCATGCACAATTCTATCAGCTAATCAGTGGCTGAATAAATAGCAGTACTCCTACATTAAAAAAAAAAAGATACTACTTCGCAGTCTAAGCATGGATACTATAAGAAAAATAAAAGGTTAAATGTTGACGAGGATGAGGAGAAAGAAATATTTATACTGTTGTTAAGAATGTAAACTGGTAGTTATTTTGAGAAATAGTAGAAAGGTTCCTCAAAAAATTTAAAATAATAGTGTCTCATATGATTTACTAATTTCACTAAATCAAGAGTGCTTCTCTTTTCACAGTGGCATTGTCTATCTCAAAAAAAGTCACCTGTGTTCCTGTTTTCATAGTGACACTCCGTGACACTCCACAGTACTAGATGTGAGTAAAAAGTATCAAGGGATAAGGAAATTTTGAGAGGTATAGCTAACAAAATTTATTCTTTAAAAAGAACGAGATCTTACCATTTACAACATTATTAATTCTCTGTAAGAATAACAACTGTGTTTAATGCCTCAATAACATTTCTCAGTGTGACAAATTCACCTGGCCTATAATACTCCAGGCAGATAAGATTCACATTAATTGAACTGAGTTGGGTTCCAGAGAAATTTTTAAAAAGGGGAAAATTCAAACTGTATCAGAATCCTATACTCAATATAACTGAATGAAACTTGGAGCTAAGAGTTACAAACAAAACTTCAGCAACTACTGATGAAGAAACGAGGATATGAGCAATCAAAGCTGAATTATCTTCAGACTTAAAATATATTTCTCCTTTGGTTAGCTCAGGTTGTTTACATTTCCTTAATCTTAATTGTAGCTAAAAGTTTAAAAGGTATTCAGTAAATCTGAAAAATTCTTAGCATTAAACAAAGTTTATACATTTGATGTCAATGAATGATATTTAAGCTTTGTAACACTGTGAAATTTAAAATTTAACAATCAAATGTGACACTTAAAATAAAGTTTAAATAACATAAAATTTAAGAGGTTCCATCTTATTACAGACTGAATTATAAAGCAAAACCTTGTTTTTATTTCAACTTAAAATTAGGTAAAACTACTGAATTTTTAAATAGATCTTTATTTAAAGTTATTAAAATAAAGTTGGTAAAGGTAGAGGCCCTCCTGTTGATCATCGATTTGCTCGAGCAGGCCCAGTAACGTCTCCATTGGAGACTTTGTTGTTACTGTGTCTGGCATATCGAATACTCTCGGTAGCTTGCCGGGCTCTCCGAGAGGGGCGGAGGAATCGAACTCGGGTCGGCCATGTTGACCGCGTGCAAGGCAAACGCCCTACCCACTGTGCTATCGCTCCAGCCCTTTTACTTAACATAAAATTTAAGAGGTTCCATCTTATTACAGACTGAATTATAAAGCAAAACCTTGTTTTTTATTTCAACTTAAAATTAGGTGAAACTACTGAATTTTTAAATAGATCTTTATTTAAAGTTATTCTTTGTAATGTCTCCATCAATTTAACTACCGTATTTGTCTTTTCCATCAAAATCTTGTAAATATTTTAAATTCCTCTTTCCTATTCATGACCATCTACTTAGATTTGATTTAAAAGTGCTCTTTTAGAAAATTTACCAATGCTCTGTCAGGTTTGATCTTATTACATGACTCTGGAGCATTAAATTCCTCACTAAAGACAATGGTCTAAAATATTATTTCAACTCTGAAACTCCACACCAATAAGTTTCATATTTCATAATTTTAAATTTTCTTCCACCTACCAAGAGATACTGTGTTATTACTAATCCTGACCATTTCTTCTTTACACTCTTTCTTCAGGCAATCTCATTCATACCATGGTACCTAAAGAGATTTATTGTGTATGACTGTCACTTCTACACCTGCTGAGGTTCTGCTGAAGAATAAATTGCCCTCTTAGAAGAAATTCTTTATAATTTTATTAAGACATATGATATGGGCTCAAAGACAAACTGAAGGAAAGTAACAAAATTTGGAAACAAAATGTAGTAATTCTAAAAGAGGCAGCTATACATATTATCGGGCAAAGAAGTAGCTATCCAATGGAAATAAAAAACAGGAAAACCAAATAATACCATGGAAAATGGAGTAACTGAAATATTCAAAGCTCCAATACACAATATACAAGGGTTGTCACACATAATAGAAGATGTATTATCCAACAGAAAATCATCAAACACACTGATAGGAAACACAAATAAATACTAAGAGAAGGTTCTTAAGCTCATTAGAAACAGAACATTTAAATCAAGAGCCCCACTGAGATAATACTTTACATCCACTAGGTTGAAAAAAATATAAAGAACTGTATTGTTTTGAAGAAGTCATGGAATAACACTACTCTTGTCTAACAGTTGATCTCTTTGGAAAACAATTTTGGGAAAAGTTTTCATTAGCAATAATCGTGCCTTGGATAAACCTCACTGGCTACGATACTGCCACTGTGCAAAGCTTGGAAAACAATTTTGACTGTCCTGTGTTTAAATGTTTTATATCTTAATATTCAGCAATTCCATTACCAAATGCTTAATTTTATATGCCAGAACGAAATCTTTACCACTTAAACTCCAAACTCTGAGTACAACAGTGAGATAAATATCCAAATATCAAATATCCAAATATCTACATTTCCACTGGATATAGAAAGTCATTTTCAAGCTACTCAAAAACACACTTGTTTTTCTTCCTTGAACTACAATCCTCACCTCCTTTGAAATCAGGAGTGGCATGAATTCTGTTCAATGAAATGTAAAGCAAAATAATTTTCAAATAACATTAGTTATCCATTTGTAATCTCAAATTTATACGGTCAAATAAAATCTTCACTTGCCTTTGAATCTTTCATACCATCATTAACCCCATTGCATACATCAAATCTATGTTAATTATTCATTGTTCCACCTCCAACTTGTCAATTTATCAATAAATTCTGCAGCTCTTTCTTTAAAGTAAATGTCAAATAGAATTACTTACTACCTCCACTATTACCCTAGTCTCACCCACACTTATTTTGCAGTGAGTCCTAGTCATAGCACTCTTTATAGTTGCTCACAAGTATTTTGGTTCAACTGAATAGATGAGTGGACACAGTGGACCAAATATTTCTAAACTTTAAATTAATGTAGATTATATCAAATTAAGAGTGCCACCTGCTTACATCTTTACTCTTTCACACAACCCTTTTTGTGACTCATGTTGTTATTAGTATTCAATCTAAAGTTGGTTAAAAAAAAAAAACTCTTTACATGCTGAAATCCCACCTTGCTGCTGTTTAAACTGGTAAGATTTCAAGAATATAAGACTTACAAGACTTATAAGGAACTTACAGTCTTATAAGGAACGTTTCCTAATCAATAGGGACAGAAAGTGAGTACTAGGAAGATATGGGATGCTCTCAATAACCCTTACCCATAAATGCGGGCAAGCTTTCAGAGAGTAGGAACAGATGTTATAGCTCAAATTTATCTTCTGTACTTGGTTAAAACCATTCAAAATAATCTCACAAATCATCTACAACTTCAGCCTCATTATATTAAAACTTTTCCAAATTAAAATTTGTAGTACTTTTAGCCAAATCTGTTAACTTATAAATCTGTAACATTCCTTTTACGTTTACGAGCTTATTCTCTTATGTATACCAAAAATGTCAATGAATCTTTTGAACTTTTCTGTAGGTTCCTCTAAAGTGAATTTTACCACTATCTGCCATACTTGTGACCTCTTGTTTTCACTTGAGAATATCCTAATAATGCTATCTGAATATCTAAGAACCTAGCATTCAATCAGGTCCACAACAGCTAGAAAAACCCTCTCCAGAATTTTCTATTACCTAATTTCTCTCTGGGCTGGAGCTATAGTACAGTGGTTAGGGCATTTGCCTTGCACGCCGCCGAGGCAGCCGACGAGAGCTGGATTCCTCCACCCCTCTCAGAGAGCCCGGCAAGCTACCAAGAGTATCTCACTCGCATGGCAAAACCTGGCAAGCTATCCGTGATGCATTCGATATGCCAAACACAGTAACAAGTCTCACAATTTGTCGTGAGATGTTATTGGTGCCTGCTCGAGAAAATCGATGAACAATGGGAGGACAGATCTATCCCTGCTGATTTAATGATAGGGAAACAGTGAAATGCCAAAGGGCCCAAAAGGTGAAACAGATGGATAGATAATGTGAACTTCCTAGAAATCACTTCCTAGTCCTCCAAAGCACAGGGAAAACAGAAATCTAAGACATAGCACTGGCAAACATAACGACTTTCCTTTTCTTCCCTTCTTTATGGGGTTTCACTTGAATATGCACTTAAACTAAGCATCAAATTTCAGTAATAGTAAAAGCTATTCTTTCTCATCAAGGGCAAAAACTTCATTCAACTTCTACTAAATCTTGTCTATGAGGAGGTATCAAATTTCTTCAGTTGTGTCTAAGCTAAGCTTGTGTATGCCCTTTCTTTAGAACTGTTACATTTAAAACATCTTTAGGTTGCCCATCAGAATTGTCTTTTTGAACACCAATCTGAGTCAAATAGATCTGTAACAATTTGAAGTCATAGAAAATATAAAAACAAAGGAAAATAAACTCCCAGGGGAAGAATGTGAATAAAGTTTGTGAATTATAGGAAAAAAGAAACTATGTATAATGTTTTCAAGACTACATGAATCTAAAGACATTTTTAATTTAGTCAGCAACATTTTGCATAATTTAGAATGCTCAGAATATTGTTTTAATAATTAGCTATTTGAATGGGATTGCTTCATATTTAACACAGTATTCTATATCATAAATATTCAAGGACACTAAAGTTACGTTAAATTTTTAATATTGTAACAGTTTAAAAACGAATCAGTAATTTTCTCTATCTTACACTCAAGCTAGAGTAGTAAATTATTTTCTACAAATGAGAAAAAAATTGCATAAAGAATTACTGCTGCTTCTAAAAGGTTTTAATGTTTTTAGCTCAGACAAAAATGCTAAATTAACAAAAATAGCAAAACAAGTTTGAAGGAAAGCAGTAATAACCACAAATATCAACTTTTAAGTAACTTCATTTTGTTTCTTTTCACTCTAACATCATTGTTTAAAGTTTCAGCTATCATTGTTAATAAAGCTTCTGGAAAAATCTGTGACAGAACAAGAGAAAACTTTTTTAAGCAATGAATCCCTAAACAGCATTAATACAGAAGTATTCACTGATTTATAAAGATGTTAATATTTTCGAGTGCTATGGATGGAAACTTGATTTTGGAAATCAAAAATCTGTTGGGAGTTCACCAATCTTTGTAATTATGGATGAGAATTTAACTCGAATTAACTTAAATGTCAAGCACTTATTTATATATAATCATCTAAACAAAAACTAAGTTCTTATCAAGCATCATTCCTACCACTGTCATTATATAGCCCAGGATCTCACTGATTCATCAGACATAAACTACCATGTCCCTAGCACACTGTACCTGCTCATAGAATTTTATTTTGATTGTTCCATCACATTATTAGAATGTGAGCAGGTAAAACACAAATTTACTTGTCTTAATAGGATTAAGTAAGAATAACTTTATGACTTTATTTGTCTTAGAACTCATAAAATGACTTTAAATTAGCATGAAACTTCACATTTGATACTGCTCAGAAGAACGCTATTAAAATATTTTGGCTAATGAGGATTTATTAGACTTGCTACCGACAGATTCGCCGACAATGAAAAGTAATTACAGATTTGGGGCAACAAATGCAAGAAGGCCCGTCCAAATCGAAAAAGGATGTGTAAAGTTAGGCTGGGAGCAGATTGGGTGGGAGCAGGCACTCCATCCAATCGCTAACAAGAAAACAAGACAGAGCAACCATTGCCTCGGCTGATCCAACCTTGTCAACTTTTAATCCTTCTGACTGATGAAAAGCATGAGACATCTGTTTATTTTTAAGTGTGTGCTGGTGGCCGGCTTCTTCCTTATTTTCACCTTTACACAACTGTACCAAATTATCAAACGTTTATATATACACACCATCCAATTCATGATACTCATCTTTAAGACCTTAAGCCCTACAAGATAAAAACAAAAGAACAAGTGACAGTAAATACAATGCGGTAAGTAAGTCCTGCTAGATAAAAACCAAAGAACAAATGACAGTCAATACGGTGTGGCAAGTCATCAACATCTCATGTAATCCATACCCTGCTCCCGTGTTAGAGAGAAGTAAACGACAACAGCAGCCCCTAGCAGAGGAAAAAAAAGAAGGGAAGGGAGAAGAATGCTCAAGATAGAAGAGGAAGGGAGAAGAACGCTCAAAACCCCGCACTGAACAGGTGCCAGCTACCCTGCAAGCCTTCCCTCTCCCCTCTCTTATTCTGGTCCAGGCCTGTAAACAAGAAACTACTCCAAGGAGCTGCTCAAGCACAGTCGAGTAATCCACACCTCCTCACGACAGCGCTGCAAACGCTCTCGGCTTGGGGATAGAGTTGAACCCGAACGTGCCGTTTACGTAATAATCCTGAGGCTTAAGAATCTCCGCCGCTGCAACCGGCAACCAGACAGGGTCTCCTGTCACCTAGGCAACCCGTTGATCTGCTCGCTAATGAAAACTTGGCCCAACCCGACAGAGGAGCGCGAAAGCAGGCGTTTCTGTTCAGTGAGCAAAGTGGGGGTGACATCCACAGGCATTATACCTCCCCTCACCTAACCCTCAACCCCCCCCCACCACACACACACACACACACACACACACACACACACTCTCTCTCTCTCCAATCCCGGTAGCGGGAAATTCAGAAATTCCTTTTAGTTCCTAAGTTCACTGGACACCTGTTATGCAAATATCTAAAGGGGGAAAAAAAAACACTCAGTGGACACAAACGGTTCAGTCTCGTGGAAGTGGGGGATGTGGGGAGGGGAGACAACGGTCCATCTCCTCTTCCCGATGAGATCTGGCGGTGTCCAGGGCCTTCGACACGCCGGACGAAGGCTCCATCGCCGGTCCCACGGGAGCGGAAAAAAAAAAAAAGAAAAAAAAAGAAAAAAAAAGCCTATGGCGAAGCTGGGAACCTGCCTGGCAACCTCTGCCCACTGGCCCGGCCTGCTCCGCGCCCGCGACGCCCAGCGCTGGGTTATCATCGTTCGGAGCGCCGAGAAATCAGGTCGCGGGGAGGCAAGATTTGCCTCCCAGAACCCGTCGCGCAGGGGAGCGTCCGCCCGGGGAAGCGCTGCTGGCCCGCGGTGCCCTCCGCGATCGGTTCCCCCCGCCCCCCACGCCCGCCGGGCGGCAGGAGCGAGGATGAGTGCGCAAGGACCGCGGCGGCTCCCGCGCCCGCCGGCCCCGCGTCCACCACCGCGGCTGGGCCGGAGCGGACCGTTACGGGGCCTCTCACGGGCCTCGGCGCGAGCCGCCCCTCCCCCACCGGAGGGCCTGAGCGAGCGCTCGCTCCCGCCGGCGGCCCGGGCAACCCCCGTTTCTCCCGCCCCCCCCACCCCCAACCAGCCCCGCGGCTCCCCCGCGAACAATACCGGAGACCCCGGGCCAGGCAGGGCCCCGACTCGGCCGCGCCGGGCCGCCCGGTGTTTCCTCAGGCCGCCCGCTGTCCAGAAGGGCAGCGAGCCGCAGGCCGCGAGACGAGCCCGCGGGAGGGAGCGAGAAGGCGGTTCTTCGCGGGGTGCCTGCCCGAGGCCGCCGCGGCCGGCCCCCGTACCTGGCTCCAGGTGATGAACTCGTTCGTGTGCGTCTCTTCCACCAGCGTCCACAGCTTGCTGAGAAAAGCCGGCACGTTGGAACTCTGCTTCATTGTTGACGAAGACGCCGGGATTCCAAATTCGACACCCGAACGCGGCGGTCGCGGCGGCGACGGCAGCTGCTCCCCGAGAACGCAGCCACGACGCAGGCGCAGCAGCTGCCGGGCCCCGCCCCCTCGGCCCCGCCAGGCGCGCAGCGAGGCGCAGAGGCCCGGCGGCCGCACGTGACGGACAGGGCTCCGCTCCCGGCTCCGGAGCACAGGTCCCGCGCCGGGGCCCCTTCCTGGCCAATCGCAGGCGCCCGTCCCGGGACGGGCGAGAAGCGATTGGGTGGTGTGGAGGAGGTGGGCGCAGAAGGGGGCGCTGCCTTTCTCATTCGCCTTTTATACCCGTGTCTCATTGTAGCGGGACTTGAGGCTTGGGGTGAGGGGGGTGGGGGGAGGGAAGGGGGGCAGTGTTTGGTGGTTTCACGTGGAAACGGCTTCGTGTTCCTGGGTGGTGACTGAGAGCTTGCAAAAAAAAAAAAAGTCCTCGGAGGCCTCTCTGAGTCATGACTTTGGCAGCAAACGGCCGGTTTGCGCCAGACTGGAGGAAGAGCTTTAATGATGGGGGGTGGGGGTGGAGAGGTGAAGGGGAGGTGGCGCTTAAAGAAAAAAAAAAAACCAAAAAAACAGTTTTTGTACGTGAAGTGCTAGGCCCCAAATCGAAACTTAGAAATAATGAAACTTGACCTTAAATTTCTCTTTCTTACTCTCTCTCCGTCTGCATGTTTATGCAAAGGAGTAGTTTGTTAATGCTACTAAACGCATGAACATAAGTATTTTTAATTCGACTTTGAATGCCCATTGTATGCCCACCATAAAAATATTCTCTTGCAGGTACTGCTCTTGCAGGTACTTCACAGCTATCTTCTTGTGATTACCTAAGCTAGTTAGGTGTGTTGGAAAGGGAAAATAAAAATCAGTGGACCAGGAGTCCGCATGTCCAAGGTTTGCTTGACCCAATTTCCAGGACATTTTATTTATTTTAAATTAACACTACAATGTAAAGCAATTCTTCACCTTGTTAGTGCTTCTCCCCAGCCCCTCTCTGGGAATTTCTCTTTTTTCCCTCCAATGTGAGAATGGATTTAATTTCAATGTGAAATGTTTTGAAAAGTTATTTTTGATAAAAACCACAAAATTAAATGTTTATTTTTGCCAAGTCAGCATGGAATTTACAGTTAATTTTTAGAAGTCATATAATTAACACTTCATACAGAATTCAATATAGTGTTACTTTACTCTCTGAGAATATAAAAAAATAATACACTGGCATTACACAAAAATTTATAAGCAAATAGTCATTAAATACTGACTTTGTGTTCAGCGGGTTCTATTTGTGGAAAGCAAAATCATATGTATGACAGGAAATATCTTGTACAAATGAAATATTTTATACAAATGCATTTGATAGACCTTTATATGTGCCGAGACTTTATGTATGTTTTCTCAGTTTATCTTTAACCTTGGGGTATTTCTTATTATCTCACTTTTCTGGTGAAGATTCTAAGGCTCAAAAATAAATGAATTTACCTATGTAACAACTTGTAAATGGGAAAGGATACTTCTCAAAGCTTTGTTGAACTCGAAAATCTAAACTCTTTCCATTACATGATGATGGCCTTTCAATGTTTAAAAGGCCTATATACTAGTTTAAGAAACAAGCTGGAAACAATGATTAGCAAATCATTAACATTAAAAAAAAAAACTAAAAAAAAAAGCATGAAAAAAGCATGAAACTAAAAAACTAAAAAAAAAAGCATGAAAAAAGCATGAAAAACTAAACAAGTACAGGTACTTGTACAGTACCCAATTAATACACTATCTGAAAGTAGAGTGATCTGTGAAACACTGTTGTACTGAAATGGCATAGAATGAAGAAACAGTTTATAAACTTATTTCATTCCCACTTTATTCAAACACTGTGGTTTAAAATGTTGCTCGTAATTTGTTACATTATTTTCCCAACATCCCCTCCAGCCTGGCCCCATAGCAGACCCACAATATATTTTTGTTATATTGCTTGTTACTACTAAGTGGCTAACTTAGTGATCAATAAATATTTTAGTAGAAGAAAATATGTGAAAATTGTTCCATCTTACCATGGGGACATTAAGTTCTTGTCTAAGGGTTTACTAATAAACGGCTGTTGGAAGTTAAGCCTTCTATGTTAATGCTTTTGTTAGTTGAGATTAGTTGGCTTCTGTGTTATAGTCCCATCCAATCTGGTATGCTACTACTGGGATGTAAGTATTGGAGAGTTTGGAGATGTCGCTCCAGAAAATCCAGAATAATTTAAGTGGGCAGTCAGGCTGGAGGCGTGCAGGTGGTTTCCGGGTGTGTGTGTGGCTGTCAGGGCTTTGGTAGGGTGAGAGTTGAAATGGCCCTCTCTAGAGGTTTCCCTAAAGATCTCAGCCAATGGGTATCAGAGAAATGTCACCCCCACCCCCCGCCCAAGAGCGCGGATGTAGTCCCCCACTACCATACCACAAATTATGTAATCAAATTTCCCAGATTTGGGGAAATCACACAGGTAAGTACACCTGACTACAATGGATAAGCCTTGCCCTGGGAAAACCACCTTCTTGATCATGGTTCTCCCCTACCAGGTAAGAAATTTTCGAGGCTAGTTAATATCTTTTGAGATTTATTCTTGAGTCCCTGGAACAAGGCTGGTAGATGGTGGCGTAGAAGCTTACATGGTGGTGACAGTGGAACATGGGTGTGGCTCAAAGTTATTCGCGTGCCAAAAAGATTTAAGCATTCCCAATTTCCCCTCAAAGTAAAAAAAGAAAAATAAATCACAGCAAATAATGCATAAAACCAGAGTAACTGTCATTGCCACTGTCCTCCCAGTAACGTCTCCATCATGAGACTTGTTGTTATTGTGTTTGGCATATCGAATATGTCACGGGGAGCTTGCCAGGCTTTGCTGTGCGGGCGAGATGCTCTCAGTAGCTTGCGGGGTTCTTCGAGAGGGGTGGAGGAATCGAACTCGGGTCGGCCATGTTGGCTGCAGGCAAGGCAAACGCCCTACCTGCTATGCTATCGCTCCAGCCCAAAACCAGAATAGTAAACATAGAAAATCAATAATAAATACATAGCCTTGTAAATTCTGGGAAAGGACTTTGATGTTGTCACTATGGTTGACCCAAATGTGTCCTGCCTCTAGGCTAGATCAATGAAAAGACAAAACTAAGGACTTACTCCACTTCCACTTCTATCTTTTGTCATAAAGGAAAAATTTCTCTGAGTTAGCAAAAGTAGTTACTAATCAGGTTTCTCATAAAAGCAACATTTTTAACTATGCTTTTGAAAGTAGGTGACTACCTACTAGAAATATCGATAAAGAGTTAAATGAAAAATGAGAATTCATGGAATATGGAGATTTGTTGCTTTTTAAGGAGAAAATACATTTGAGTAGCTAAATGGAAGACAAGAAGATAGTAGGCTAAGGATCCTGGTCTAACAATTCAGGTTGTAAGATTGGTAGTGACTGAGAAAATAAGGCTTTTTTTGACTGCATTGTATTATTTCCATTTAGAATAAATAGGTGTGGTTAGTTACAAGCAGAAACCCCTCTGCGCATTCACCTGTACAGAGAACAGTGTTTTGCTGGGCCAAAAAGTTGGTTTAATATTCTGTTGTTACAATATTGAAACACTTAATATTAAATAAGATCCCATATGTTTATTTTTGTTCTGGGATCTTTAATATATTACCGGTTTCCGATGTAGTATGCCTGATAGACAAGTGGTTCTCCAACTTAAGCATACTTTCAAATCATTTGAATGGGAGAGTTGGTGAAGGAAGGAGAAAGAAACTGCCAATATAATAGATGAGCAATTAATCACTTAACAGAACTTACTACTTATCAGGTTGTATTACTTGTATTTGCAAAGCTAGTAAAGGTACTATTATTAACCATGTAGCCTGATGATGGTGGAAAAGACATGATGTGGCTAAAATTATATGGTTAAACTTACAACAGGAACCATATATTTGGTATTCCATATATTTAGTAGTAGGGCTTTCAATGGAACAAATATTGGAATCCTGGAACTACTACAAGCAAATTAAGTGCCATAGAGTCTCATACTTAAAGTCATTTATCTTTGAAACAAAATGGCGTTTTGGTGGGAAATGGATATGCTTCAGTAGTCTTTTAAATAAGTTAAGAGAAGACTTTGAGATTTAATTTCTTAAAATTTCAATGTCAAAGAAATTTTCTTTTCTAAGGCTGTAACTCTCCAGTGCAAAGGACACTGACCCAGAGGAGTTTCTTCTTTAATATGACAAGTGCATTAATACCACTTTTTTCAGACTTGGGTTAAAACTGATAAACTGATATAAAAGTTCATTATATGCCAAATTTGTTAGAATCTGATTAGCTACCCAATTGAAAATCTACTTCAAGTTTATGCAAGACTTTCCTGGTTTAGTACTGAAAATTCTTTGCCTCAAGCACTCCTTTAGCCTCAGGAAAACCCAGATGTTTGATTCATCTAACTCTAGGGGTTCTAATTCTAGGGTTTTCCAGTTATTAATGTGTGGAAAGGAAGCAGGTATTCATAAAGTAAACCAGGCATTCATATGGCAAATAGTATATATGAGGGATCTAAAATGTTAGTACTGGCTTAGCTGTTCTGGAAGCAGTTACTCTTTTTTTATGTAAGATAGTTTTATTTAGAGAAAATTTTTTAAAGACAAATTAGGGAATACACAACAATTCATTCAAAAATACATATGCACACCATTATTCTTTGTAGCACATAATACATAGCTATGATTTAGAATCATATTATATCATAGAATCAGGTATCTATGATAAACGAATAGATAAAAAGCTAGTACTATTGGGGGCTGGAGCGATAGCACAGCAGACAGGGAGTTTGCCTTGCACGCAGCCAACTTGGCCGACACAGGTTCGATTCCCAGCATCCCATATGGTCCCCCAAGCACCACCAGGAGTAATTCCTGAGTGCATGAGCCAGGAGTAACCCCTGAGCATTGCTGGGTGTGACCCAAAAAGAAAAAAAAAAGCTAGTACTATTCATACACAATGGAATACTATGCAACTATCAGGAATGGTAAAACCATGCAATTTGCTGCATCTTGGAACTAGAGGATAACATGTGAAATGAAGTAACTCAGAAGAATGACAAATGCCATACTGATCTCACTTATCTATGGTATATAAAATAACTATTTCAGGGAATGTGAAGTATCCAAGTGGGACCACCTAGATTATCCTTGACCCTAGATTGTAGTAATAAGGACAGAGAAGGAAAGAAATCAAGGTGGGTGTGGAGTAAGAAGAGACAGAAGGGAAGTAACAAGGGCAGGGATTGGGAATCTAGGCACACTGGTGGTGTAGAGGTGAGGCATATGCATATATCTAAATCACAGAGCCAAGCACTGTAATTCAGGGACCCAAATACAATAACCAAACTTTAAAATGTGCCTGTTAAGGAGGTAGACTGTGCGGTGGGAGGGAATCCGGGGGTACTGGTGGAGGGAAGCTGACACTGGTGGTGGGATTAGTGTTGGGACACTGTATGTCTAAAATAACTCTTATGAACAATTTTGTAAATCACAATACCTTAAAAATTATAAAGTCAGATATGAGGAAATAAAGATATGTTCAAGATAGAACCAGAGTGAGGGAAAAATCTTGAATTACTTTTAGAAGGTTATATAAATATATAGATTTTCTACAAATTGTCTTAGCTCTCTGAAATCTTCCTTCCTTCCTTCCTTCCTTCCTTCCTTCCCTCCCTCCCTCCCTCCCTCCCTCCCTCCCTCCCTTCCTTCCTTCCTTCCTTCCTTCCTTCCTTCCTTCCTTCTTTTTCTCCTTTCTTTCTTTCTTTCTTTCTTTCTCTTTCTTTCTTTCTTTCTTTTTTTCTCTTTCTTTCTTTCTTTCTTTCTTTCTTTCTTCTTCTCTTTCTCTCTTTCTTTCTCTCTCTCACTTTATTTTCTTTCTTTCACTCTAAACTGAGCATCAAGATAACCTTGAGCTAATAAGCCTATGGCTTTTCGAAGGTGTCCTACTTCAAATGTAAAAATGGAGATCCTAACTCCATCTGCTTCATCTTCATTGTCTTTGGCCTGTGTGCACACAGGACCACAGGCTGATTGAGGTCAAATAAAACTTACTACAACTTAAAAAAAAAAATGGAGACCCTATATATCTTTTCAAAAAATTAAGATCATTAAGCTCATTAACTTACCAAGATTGCCAACCTGTTAAAAATATTATATCTTTTAAAATTACTGCTCAAATATATCTTTATAGTCATAGTAATTTGAAAGATAAACATAAATGTCATGGTTTTATTAAATATCATGTAGACCAAATATCCAACAACAAATTTAGCTATTATCTGGTTTTGAAAGAAAAGTGGTATGTTAGATGACTAATAAAGTTATATGTAAATCATACACTAATGAAATATTTTTCTTGCCTTCATTTCAACTAAACAAGTAGTTAGGTATCATTAAGATTTTCATATCATCTGTGTTCTATTTTATATTAATGATCATAATATTGAAATGTAACTATTCAATACAGAATTATGTTTAAAATTCAACATATTCTAAATATATTTAAACATAAATATACATATATAAAATATTTAACATACTTTGTAAAGTTATTTTATAAAGCTATTTAAATTAGTGTTAATAAATAAAAAATATTTAACATACTTTGTAAAGTTATTTTATAAAGCTATTTAAATTAGTGTTAATAAATAAAAAATATTTAACATACTTTGTAAAGTTATTTTATAAAGCTATTTAAATTAGTGTTAAAAGAGAAATTAGTTATATACCTGTATTCAAAAAATTATGAAATATGAAAAATATTAAATGTAAACTATAATCAATAACTTTTAAATTTTTATACCTTTTGGTTACTGTGACTAAAACTGCTATGGCCATAGTTGTGTGCACATAATTTTAAGTATTTTTGCCTTTTCATTTGACAACACACAATGGAAATTGTTTCAAGGCAACAGGCATAGCTATAATTTATTGTTTTTGTTTTGCTTTTGTTTTACTTTTGGGATCATACATAGGGCTTACTTCTGACTCTACACTCAGGGATCACTCCTGATAGGGATCAGGAGGCCATATGTGGGGCTGGGAATTGAACCCAGTTCTGCTGTGTGCACAGCAAAATCTCTACCAAGCTGTAGTATTACTTTGGTCCTACTTTTTAAAATGACTTCATGGTATTGCACAGGGTGATCACAATAAACTTAAGCATTCTGCTACTGGTATCTTTTTGTTTCTTGTTATTTGTTTTCTTTTTGAATCGTGCTGCAATAAAAGAAAACCCTTAAATATAAATTCTAGAATATTGGTGTTTTGATTTTCCTAAATTTGTGAGTTCACATTTTCATATTTAATTTGGCTATTTTATCTGGACTTTTCATTATTTTCTAACTTTCAAAAAGAAAATTTTGCTGAGTAAAAGCCCACAGAGGAGCTAACAGAACAGTATTTGATATGTTTCCAACACTGTGATGCTCCTAGCAACCAGAAATGTCAACATCATGCTTCTATGGTAATAGCAAATGTTTAAGCTTGATAGAAAAGAAACTAATATATGGT